TAATAATTCACTGAATATTCTTCAGATGATTGGATTATTGCATTAAAGAGATACTTAAGAAGACTCCGGCTATTCATATAATTTATGTAGCACTTTAAAACAGTTACAGCATTTTCCTTATCATACTTAGCTTCAGAGAGACCCAGCTGTTTTTAAAAAAAGGGTTGATATACATTAATTATGGGAAACCTAAAAGTACTCCCTTACAGCAGCCCAAGATATAATTAACCTTGCTTTACAAACCTTCCATGTTCATTTTCTCCTACCTTCCTTCAGTTTTTAGGTAGCTGGGAAAAGTTGATGCCCCAAAATGAAATTAGGTAAGCTTTGTAAAGCTTTGCATTCTGCCAATCACTAAGAATCTTGCTTTGACTTGCCAAAGTGTGCCCGGAGCTCTCTGAATCCACAGCCAAGAGGAAAAAAAACAAAGTTTGAGCAAAAACAAGCGACTTATGAGCGCAGTCCTCATGCTTACAAGGTATACATACTGTGGATCTGGGCTGTAAGCTCTGGAGGAGAAACCTCACATGTGGGACCTCTGCAGCAGCTGCCAGAACTACCAGCCTTTGGCCTTTCATTGACGTTGTAAGTCATATGGAACATGGCAGCGTTTAGAGTTGAGAACAGCTTTCGGGACGGTTAATGATAGATGCCTTCACAAAGTTATGACTGTAGACCTTGTCACTTCCTCCAGTCTACTTCATATCCTGCCTTGCATAACTTCTACCAAAAAAATGGGGAGGGCAAAAACTGAATCCATTTTTGGTCACCACGTTATAAAAGAGAAGCTGAGACTCTAGAAAAAGGACAGAGAGAAGAGCAATCAGGATGATTAGGGGGCTGGAGGCTAAAACATGTGATGAACGGTTGCAGAACTGGGCCTGGCTAGTCTAGGGAAGAGAAGGACCAGGGGAGACAGGAGAGCAGTCTTCCAATATTTGAGGGGCTGCCACAGAGAAGAGGAAAGGGTCAAGCTATTTTCAAATGAAGGCCAGACAAGGAACAATGGATGGAAAGTGAACAAGGAGAGATTCAACCTGGAAATAAGGAGAAACTGTCTGACAGTGAGAACAATCGACCAATGGAACAGAAGTTGCCTTCAGAAGTTGTGGGAGCTTCATCCCTGGAGGCTTTCAGGAAGAGATTGGACTTCCATCTGTCAGAAAAGGTGTAAGGTCTCCTGCTTGGGCAAGGGAGGTTGGACTAGTTGACCTACAAGGTCCCTTTCCAACTCTGATTATCTGTATCTGTTAAAAAAAGAGAATCACTCAGCAGGCAGTTATAGCTACAGGAATCTCCAAGCTATGTTACAACCAGGAGGAACGAGAAATCTTTCTTCGATTTTCAATATGCTTCCATCGGGAGATTCTCCCCCCTTTTAAGTCTAGATCAGGGATGTCCAACTTTGGGCACTTTTAAGACTTATGGACTTCAACTCCCAGGGGTATCCAACCTTGGTGTTTTGACCGAGGCTTCCTGAGACAGTAACAATCACATGCTGTTCTCAAAAACCTTTTATTTTATTTCAATGGCTGTGAATTATATGCATTCACAGCCCGTAATGAGTCCCAAATACGTTATGAATAGTCCAACAGAAGTCTGCCAAGGTCCTTTGGAATAAGGCTGATAAGCACCCATCTTTACCTCCCTTGAAATGCTGCCAAGGACTAAATTGCCAATTAATTGTACAAGGCCAAATAGAGAACAAAGTCAACACGGAGCTTCGGAGTTTCAACCGACCAGAACGAACAAAGTTGCTTCCTGCAAAGGCTCCTGTCCCTTTGTGTCTTATGGGAGGGGCCAATCATCTCCAAGATTACTTAGTCCTGAGTTGCCCCTTTTGTCTTAACTGTTCTTGCCTTCTGGTAGCTAACAGGCTCCCCTTGTTCCTCTGCCTCACTGCTGTCAGATTCTGGAGGCTCTGGAGTCAGCACATAACTCTCAGATGGGCCTGCCCCCATCTCTGTGTCGGACACAGGACCTCATCTGAGTCTTTCCCAGACTCCCAGACTGGCCCGTGTTCCTCCTGTCTGACTCTGCTGCCATCTCCGCAGGCCTCTGGCAAATCACGACAACTTGGCCACTTTAAGACTTCTGTCCATGGAAATTCTCAATCATCCAGGTCATGATTTCCCCCAAAGTGCTTTTCAAATTCACCTGGAATTCTAGACTTTCAGAAGAACTGAAGAAGCTTCTTGGATGAGAAGAGAGATGTTTTCAAGGAAAAAAAACCCAAGGAAGTCCACTTGCTTTTTGAAAAGTACCTTTGGGTTTAAGACTTATCGATTTCAACTCCAAGCAGTGTCCAACCTTGGCAACTTTTAAGACTTGTGGACTTCCTGGCTGGCTGGGGAATGCTGGGAGTTGAAGTCCACCGGTCTTAAAAGTTGTCAAGATTGGACACGCCTCATCTTGATGAAACTCCAACCGGTGTTGATGCGTTCCTCAAGCCGGCCCGATTTAGTAGAAATGCAGAGATAAACGGAGCGGGACATTTCAAAATTTGCAGTTAAGAGGAAAAGGGGAAACATTTTGCAAAGAGATCCTACCGGTGGGGATAGAAGGGCCTGCCTTTGTTGGACTTGCTTTCCATTTAAATTTTCCACCTAAAATGTAAGCCCACCTTTTCACGTTCTCGCATTTTTTAAAAAAACGTTTCCTGGTTTTGGTTTCCAAAAGAGCTTTGCCCGAAGAAGCAAAATCTTACAGTTTTTCTCCTTTCGATTAAGAATCAAACCACCCTCGCATTTCTCTCTTTCAGTCTCATTTCCTAAGGGATGGCTTATTTTCAATCATCTGACACTTTCCTAAATGTTGTCTTTGTCAACATTTTCTGGTTTTTCTCTCTCGGTTTCAGGTGCTCTCAGTTTTATTTCAAATTCCAGCACGGGTGTTTTTAAAATTCTTTTGTTGGGGGGACTGAATGTTGTTTCTCTCTCCCTATCTCACAAATCGAGATGACCCCCCTCTATCTTTCATCCATCTGTTTCGTTTAAATCTTTTTCCTTTTCTTTTTTTCCTATTAGAAAACACTTTACGGCTCTTTATCAAGTTCTTATTTAGCGTTAACTGCAAAACTTAAGCAGCCCGGTGGTGCGTTAATATCTCAGAAACCACATTTAACATTGATGTAGTTTTTTTTTCCTCATCTTTAAAGGTTTAACTGATCCTAATCATCACAGTGCTAACAGTTTGTCTTGTATAAATACCACATCATTCTGTTATTAGATCTGTATTCTGTCATGTATTATTTGCACTTTATAATGCAATTAAATAATTAACTTAGAGAAAGACAAGAAAAAAAAGTTCCATCCGTTGTTTTTTTTAAGCATCACACATTTTTTAAAAAAAATGAGTGGAATTTTTAATTGCACTGGTACAGCTGCCACCTTAACTCTTTTGGCCAGATAACAGATAATCAGAGTTGAAAGGAAACTTGTAGGTCATCTAGTCCAGGGGTCGTCAGCTTTTTGGACCTCAGGAACTACCAAACTCGTAATTTTAAAGCCCGCGGATCAGAGACCCTGGGAAAATCCCCCCCAAAAGTCTGCAGAAAAACTCCCCACCCCGTTTTCCTACCAACTGATCATTCTTTATTTGGGATCGCAGGATACCGTCTCCAGCTCCGTTCTCAGGCAGAGAGAGAGAGACTTTTGGCTGCATGCAAGGAAAGCAGCAGAAGCTGCAGAAGTCTTTCTTTCTCTCCCCCAAACTCCGCCAGAATTGAGTCTTGTCATGCCGGCATAGCCTCTTGGAGCAGGAGGCCTTGCAGGGTCCCAAAGACTCATTTCTGGCGGAGTTTAGGGGAGAGAAAGAAAGACTTTTGCTGCTTTCCTTGTGTGCAACCAAAAACAGAAGCAGAAAGAAGCGGAAAGAAGGAGCCCGGTGGCCAGGCCAGGCGCGTGGGGCGAGTGGGGCAAGTTCCCCTCCTCGGCTCTTTCTCCCCCACTACCTCGTGTTGTTCCAATGCAAGCGACACAAACTTTGTGTTCCCGCGGGCCATGTGGGCAGCGCAGCCTTGTGTTCCCGTGCAGCCTGGATTAATTGCTTTGGGGGTAACATTCTCTGCGGACCACCAAAATTTTCTCGCGGACCACCAGTGGTCCCTGGCCCACTGGTTGATGACCACTGACCTAGTCTAATCCCTTTACTTACCAAATCACTCCATCTGTCTAGCTTTCTT